TATACATTTATTTATTTTTACATTTATTTATCTTTTAATTTATTCATTTATTTAGAACAACAAAAATAATTTGACTTTAAATGATGCGCTCCGAATTAAGTTGAGATCTCTGGCACAGCCTTAGCCTGCCCTAGAATATATAAGGAGGCATTAAGTGCCTATCTATTCCAATGAACCTCTTAAAAAATCAAGTCCTCTTCCATATATTAAAGAGATTTGTTCTATTTCTCTTTATCAATTGTATTGTTAATATATTAAATTGTATTGTTATAGTTAATAATATTAACAAATCTTTCTTTAAGGATATTCTGCATTGGCATTGGTCTAACTAATGCTCAAGTATTATTATTATTATTGTATTTATATCAATCATAACTCTAAAATTTCCAAAGACCCAGTCAATACCTGTTCGAATGCACCTTTTAAAGTGTGTTTTGTATTCGCCTAAGCCAAAGCGAATAAATACATTGCCCCACGTCTAAGCCAAAACAATAGGTATTATAATAATGGGTTTCTCGTATGGCCAAATGAGTCACTTGACTTGACTGCGGCTAAGTTGAAGCGGAACTTCGCATGCAGTTTGAGGCAAAAGCTAATTACAAGCGGAGGGTCTATTGATTTTTATTTTCTAGATTTGTTGTTGTTGTTGTTGTTGTTGTTACTGTTGTTGTAGTTGGTGTTTTTGCTGTTGTTGTCGGGAAAGTACAGTAACCCAGGCACTTGTACGCCCCCGAGCCACAGCAGTGACCCAGTTTCTTGGCTTTAGCAAACAACGCCCCCAACGCAAATTGACGCAAAAACTGAAAGTGGAGCAAAAGTGAAACGCAATATGACCACAAACGAAGCTCTCTATATGGATACGGCACATACGCAAGTCGGAAAAGGCAAATCAAATATCAAAGGCGAAGAAAACTTAGCTGGGCAAATGGTACTGGGAGTTGGGGTTCTCAATAGGTGGAGCCGAGTTAATTGTTTGTGGTGCTTAAAGAGAGCTAGGGAGGGTGAGAGATTCAGAGTGAGTGAAGGCTTCTTCAGATAGCTAGATTGACATTTAGTGCTCAAGCCCTATCGTTTCATTAATCTTGTGTTTCATTGCCCAGTTTCCAGAGACTAGTTTCCCAGCGCTTAAACGTGTGTCAACACCCACAAAACCGCAGGCGGTCCCCAAAGCAAAATCTAAAAAAAAAACCAAAAACAAAATATGTAATAGAAATAGAAAAAAAAAGGAACTTACATATGCGTTTGCCACAAAATGCATTTGTAAAAAGTCTCCAAGTGTTTGGCCAAGGAAAATTAATGATTTATTTACGTCTGGCATTGGGGGCAACACCTTAAATTAGTTGAAAATAACCCAGGCTATACGGTCAATGGTTTATGAGTGGCCATAAAAGAAGTCATTGGTAGACCGGCCCCGGAATATGATTAATTGCCGCCCCTCTCGCTGCAGTTGCACTTTGTATGCTGCTTCCCAAAAATTTGTTGCCACGTTCAACAATTGCGCTTCATTATCGGCGTTTGGCCAGCGACCAGAGCCAGAGCCAAAGCCAAAGCCGAAGCCGGGCCATCGACCATCAACTGCAACGGCAGTCAATTACTGACCAGTTGCCATAGACTCGCCGTCTGTCGTCTGTCCTCTCTGTCTCTATCTCTGTCTCTGCCTCTCTTTTGCCCATTTTCATGAGTTTTCCTCGGGCAGGCAGCTCTCGTTTCATCGGGTGTTGTTGTCAATGTCCTGCTGCGCTATTATTTGTCTTGTGTCAGTGAGCTGGGCTCAGCTCTGGGTTCCACCTCCTTCTGGCCGTGTATAAATTGCTTTACGGCACTTTTGGGTCATTAACGAAATTGAAAATGCTTGACAAAGAGTTGAGTTGCGTTTGAGTAGATTCCAGTTTGAGTCGCTCTCCCTCTCTCTCTCTCTCTTTCTGTCTCTCATTCTCTTTCTCTCTCTCTCTCTCTGTTTAGTTGATTGCGGCTGCTAGCTGCCGGCTTTGGCATTATATCAATGCCGCCAACTTTGGTAGTTGGCTAATCATTAGACACCAACAGAGCTGACGCTGTGTGAGCCGGATTGGTTGATGTTTACTGCTACTCTGATTCCCTTCGAGCCCTCATAATTGAGAATCTATTATTTTATTGAGATTATTATGATTTATCCATCAAATACATAAATAATATCTGCACTCTATCAGCACTATGATAAATGATATTGATTATT